CAGATACTTTCACTCTACTTGCACTACAGTTTTAGGCAAGTAATGGTACTTTTACTTAAGTAGGATTTACTTCAGTACTCTTTCCACCACTGGATATAATGCTTTTAGAGCACACTTCATTATTATTGTCCATTTATTAATTTGCTGGAAATTAGAACTGAATTTAGAAATTATTTTGAAACTAATTTTACGTTTAACAAACTAAATTATGAAATTAAATATGTAATGGATGACGCTATTGACACTTAGAGGAATGAAAGATGAGAATCTGATTAGTTTAATGCACGTTACTATATGCCCAAAAACACACCCATAACTTGTTAAAAGAACATAGGCAGCCCTTTTAGACCATTCTTTGGTGCACCAACTATTTTTCCCATCTTTAAATAGCAAAAGTGTTTTCAGACATGCCATGCACCTGCACTTTAGACCATGCACCAGTAGATCATTAAAATAGAGCCTATAATGTTCATGGCAAAAATATATTTCAGCTAAAAATATAGAGACCATATTACAGTAGGCAAAAGATTTATATTGCTGATGCTTCATTAGCTTTGGCAAAAGCAAAAGAAGGTTGCTGCTTTGAGCCCCGGCTGGGTCAGATGGCATATCTGTGTGGAGTTTGCATGTTGTCCCCGTGTTCACATAGGATTTTTCTGGGTGCTCCGCTTTCCCCAACAGTCCAAAGACATGGATTAAAATTAAATAAGCTTATGAATTAAATAAGCTAAATTGGCCGTAGTGTGGGGCCATGCAGGTCGCTGGTTAGAACCTTGGCTCAGTTGGTGTTTCTGTGTGGAGTTTGCATGTTCTCCCTGCCTTTGCGTGGGTTTAATCTGGGTGCTCCGGTTTCCCCCACAGTCCAAAGACATGCGGTACAGGTAAATTGGGTAGGCTAAATTGTCCGCAGTGTGTGTGAATGTGTGTGGTATGTTTCCCAGGGATGGGTTGCAGCTGGAAGGGCATCCGCTGCGTAAAAAACAAAACAAAACAAAAAACTTGCTGGATAGGTTGGCGGTTGCTGTGGCAACCCCGGATTAATAAAGGGACTAAACCGACAAGAAAATGAATAGATAAATGGCTGTAGTGTGGTGACGCAGTGGCGCAGTAGGTAGTTATGTCGCCTCACAGCAAGAAGGTCACTGGTTCGAGCTGGGTTAGTTGGCATTTGTGTGTGGAGTTTGCATGTTCTTCCCGCTTTCGCGTGGGTTTCCTCCGAGTGCTCCGGTTTCCCCCACAAGTCCAAAGACAAGCGGTACAAGTGAATTGTGCAAGCTAAAATTGCCTGTAGTGTATGCGTGTGAGTGTGATTGTATAAGAGTTTCCCAGTGAATAAGAGTTTCCCAGTGATGGGTTGCGGCTGGAAGAGCATCTGCTGCGTAAAACATATGTTGGATAAATTGGCGGTTCATTACATTGTGGCGACCCCAGATTAGTAAAGGGACTGAGCCAAAAATAAATTGAGTGAATGAAATTAATAGGTACTGTATATGGGTGTAAATGCAACAGTGTATATGGCCGGAAGGGCATCTGTTGCGTAAAACATATGCTGGATAAGTTGGCAGTTCATTCCGCTGTGGCAACCTAAGCCAAAAAGAAAATGAATGAATGAATGAAAGACAGCATTGGCTGGCAGAGGGCCTAGAAGGAGCTGCAACAGTTGAGACTGGTGCAGTCATGTACTGTATATGGCCCACCCACCTGTCGGTCAGGCCCAGTCATTGCTGGCTACAACAGAGATTGGTTTAATTACATCAATTGTCAGATGCCTTTATAAATACAGTGCTCAGCATAAATGAGTGCACGCTCTTTTGAAAATAAATGTTTTTATCCATTTCTCAGCAAATATAGCCAATCATTTCGGTGGATTTAAACAAAACAGTTTTATTTTAACAGTTTATTTAATATTATAAGCATTATAAAATCTGTAGGGATAAAAAATAATACATTTATATTAAAAAACACAAAAAAAATCAATAAAAAAATCTACTGCAAACTTTTACTAACATTTATATACTTTTATGTTTCACTTAATTTTTCCCATTTATCAAAATTTCATTTCATATTTTCCCCTAACATATTAATTTGGGTGTCCACATTTTTTATACTGTGATCTAAAGTTTTTAGATTAGTTGTTAGATTGATAGATTATTTTCAGTTTGGGCTTTAATACTGACTAATTTAACAAAGTATAACGTATACATTAAAATAGAGATCTGTAGGATTGTACTCATTTATGCTAAGCACTGTATGTATGTTCACATTAGGCTTTTTCTACCACTTTTTTATTTTATTATTAACATTTGTTCATCTAATGTGAGGTCATTGTAAAGTGCTACATGTTGTACTTCATAATCCTTTTGCAGTTTATTTAGGTTGAAACATTTGTTTCATCTGAACATGCATATACAATAGAGCAGGGCAGCTCAACCCTGCTCCTGGAGATCTACCGTTCTGAAGAGTTCAGCTCCATCCCTGATCAAACACACCTGAACCAATTAATTAAGACCTAAACGGCACTTGATAATTACAGGCAGGTGTGTTTGACATGAATTGCAACTGAAACCTGTAAGATGGTAGATCTCCAGATACAAGGTTGGACACCCAATAGAGCAATGCAGTAAATATTGTTGTTATTAGTTAACTACTTTTGTTCAGCTTAGGTCAATTTTGTGCTAACACTGTTTATCGCATGATAAATGCTTCATCTTTTAATCGCAGCAAGAATATTCAACTCTATCATAAGCCTACTTTACATAGTGACTGCCACTGTACTATTCACTACTGTCCTGATGATTTACTGTAATGATGGTGTTTTTTTTTTGTTTTTTTTTTGCATCTGTCAGATGTGTGTATGTGCGGTGTGGTCGCCATGCTATTTCTGTTCTTAACACTGCTTATGATGACATACAGGCTTATGCTGTGATTAAGCGGTGGCGTGTATTTAAGCAGGTGTAGTTGTGTTGGCATATTTTGATAACAGATGCATTTTAGGCTTGGCTCAGCCAAATTTATTTGGGCCCACCCACATTGTGAGTCCTGGCTATGCTAGTGCCGTGATGGGAGGAATAAATGGGCGTTTAATGAGAATACTCTGGAGTAATGGAAGAAACTTTGTTGTGGGTACTACAAGACTGCAGTACTATTTCTGAAATTCCAACAGTAAACAAGGAAACACCAATTAATAATCAATCAATTCAACAGTTGGGTGGCACAGTGGCTCAGTGAATAACACTGTCACCTAACAGCAAGAAGGCTGCTGGTTTAAGTCCTGGCTGGGCCATTTGTTTGCATAGAGTGTGCATGTTCTCCCAGTGTTTCCGTAGGTTTTCTCCTGGTGCTCTGGGTTACCCCACAGTCCAAAGACATGCACCATAGTGAACTGAATAAACAAAATTGGCTGTAGTGTAGTGTGTGTGTGTGTGTGTGTGTGTGTGAGAGAGAGAGAGAATGTGGGTGTATGGGTGTTTCTCAGTACTGGGTTGCAGGTGGAACGGCATCCGCTTTGCAAAGCATATGCCGGAATATTTGGCAATTTATTTCACGGTGGCAACCTCTGAAATAGAGACTAAGCCGAAGGAAAATAAATGAATGAATGGTATTCAGCAGTCCCATGAGACTAATTTCTAAATCACCTTAAAAGCAATTTATTTCAATCGAAAAAAAATCTTATTGGTGTCAAGATCATAAAAGTCCACAATGTGACATACATTTCAACGATACTAAACAACAAAAATTTAAATATTAAATGACAGCAGGACTGCATCTCCTGTTAGCTTGGCAGTGATTAATTTCTGAATGAATCTCCATTTGTAATAAATTAAGATTACGATTGATTACATTGCCTTTTCACAAAGACAGACTATAGATTCCTGTATGAATTCATCATTGGAATTCATTAAACCATCAAATGCCTCTAATATTTACTTATTAGACATTCACTGTCAGCTACTTTTTTATTTCTATTTAGATATTTATATTTTCAGTTTCACATTTCAGTCAAATATGAATAAAAAGCTTTTAAATCTTTAATTTATCCGTAAAATTTTTCCATATTTTAGTCAATTTGAGTTTGTAATAACACTTTAAGATAAACGTCTTTATTTTGTGAAACATTAGATTGTTTTGTGAAGAATGTTGCAGTAAACATTGTTTAAATAAATATATCTAAAAACAGGCGACGCAGTGGCGCAGTAGGTAGTGCTGTTGCATCACAGCAAGAAGGGCGCTGGTTCGAGCCTCGGCTGGGTCAGTTTCCCCCACAGTCCAAAGACATGTGTTACATGTGAATTGGATAGGCTAAATTGGCCGTAATGTATGAGTGAATGAGTGTGTGTGAATGTTCCCCATAGATGGGTTGCAGCTAGAAGGGCATCCACTGCCTAAAACGTGCTGGATAAGTTAGTGGTGGTTCATTCCGCTGTGGCGATCACAGATTAATAAAGGGACTAAGCCTAAAAGAAAATGAATGATTGAATGAATAAATATCTAAAAACAATCGTGGCTACTTTAGTCTAAATGTTTGTTGTGAAATAAACTACTAATGTCTGATATACATTTAAAACCTGATGACTTTTTGTTGAAATTTCTCAATCCAATTGAATTTATGAATAGTCAGATCAGTTAATCTCCGCATCGTTAAGTAGATAACACGTTTTAATCGACTGACAGTTCTATCTGAAATATACATTCAATTTAAAACCCTGAATGCATCTAATCTTAAATCAGGGTGGTCAGACTCCCCTTAAACAGCTCCAATAACTCGATTTGATCTTCAGTCTGTTGAAATCTAAAGTAGCCATCCAGATATGCAAAACGCGCCTAAAATGTGTCCGTTTAAGTGTCGAGCGTGCTGTAGTGCGTCTCAGTGTGTGTCTTTAAGTAGTACGCTGCGGTAGGAGGAGTTGTAGCGATTGTGACGCCGCCAGCGGAGCCGTGGTGCTGAGCTGAACAGCGCCTGTCCACCTGCAGTAGGGCGCGAGACCGACCGGGACAATATTCTCTCGCATCACTCAGCGGAACCTGCTACCGACAGCACATCTCACAGGAATTATCTGCACGTTTGTGAATAACAAACATCTGCCTCCTTCGCTGATGGCCAAAATGAAAACCGGCTGCGCGATTCTTGTGGCGTGTGCCTTAGTTGTGGGCACATCTTTGGTAAGACTAAATGTTTTATTTACAAACATTCCTGAAGTAATAGGCTACTACTTAAAATCAAATTCTAGTAAGCTGATTGTTTGGAGGAGTGCACTTGTGTTGGTGAATTTATGTCGGTAGGCGACTTACTCAAAGAACAGTAGTGGTGCATCGAGCGCTTATATACTTTGTTTGTTTGGAAATCCAAAATTGCTGTCGTAGCACTTATATAATAGTCGCTTTTTCTGTCAAATAGCGTTCCAACAAGTACATCAGTTTGTGGTGAACACTAGTCGTCTATCTGTAAGCTGCAGTGGCTTGCAGCTGCACTTTTAACACACATTGCAGAGGATGCGGCGATGCCTGTGGTGTGTCTGCGAGTAATAGTGCTGCTCTGTCCTTACCGGAGGAATATGCGAATATGCAAATCGATTTAATATTAATATGCATGCTAAGGAATATTCATGCTCCTATTCATAACATCAGGGATAATTTAACTTGTAGGGTTGCTTTAGAGTCAGCGATGCACATTTCTCTCCCTCTCTCCAGAAACAATAGGAGTAGAAGAAGCCCTGTACATGAAATCTAAAAGGTGCTGGAGTGTTAAGTAAATATAAGTTCTGCAAATAAGACACATATTGCCGTTGAACGTGGTGGATATTGACATTCACTTTGATGACTCATTCAGAATAAAAATCTATCCAGCTGGGGGTGAAATGTAGCTATAGAGATGCATTCACATGGTGGGCAGAGGCAGCGATGCTTTAGAAAGTAACCATCTCACAGCCCTCTGACTAATGTGATCTGTAGGGATGCTTTGACAGAGACTGTTCCTCCGTGGATATATGAAAGAGCTTAGTGCGTCGCTTCTTTGTTGTCTTGATATTTCAGGTTCAGAGTTGTCTGGGAGGGAAAAAAATGTAGGGAGAGGAAAAGATAGAGACCCTTAAAGGCAACCTCTCATTCGGTTTTAGACACATCCGAGGCCTGAGCTTGAACCCTAGATCGCTTTAGAAAAGACCACCATACTGAGACTGGGATAACCTGAATATGACCCACCATCTAATTATGCTAAATCTCCGTGGTGAGCACTATCCATTGATGCATACACACATTCTCTCTCTCTCTCTCTCTCTCTCTCACACACACACACACACACACTAGGTCACTCTCCTAAAATAGATGCCACTGTAATGGGCACAATTTCTCCACCGATTTACATGGCAGATCTCCAGCGCAACCTTCTTTCCTCTGCACTTCCTGTTTTCCGTCGCATCCCTGTTTTCACCCTCAGTTTATTTTAATCATCAAACAGGCTCGTTTAGCTCTTGTTAAATTTTTAGAGAAGCTCTTGATGTTTTCACTTTTTTTGAAAACCACCATTAAAACCATGCAGGCATTCTGAATGGGAATTAAATCACAGATTTGCCGCCTTTGATTTAGAATTTGTCAATTTACATATTTGCATAGAAGTATTGAATATTCAAACACTCCACTGGATTACAGCAAAGCAGGGATTCGCAACATGCACTCCAGAGGGTATTTAACCAAGTTATAGGAGGTACTTTAGTGTATTTGATGTAATGACTGTATAATGAATGTATAACTATCTTTATTTACAATGTTTACCTAATTTACAGATAATTATTTAACTAATCTTAGTTAAATAATTTATCATTAATTTATATATACAGATTATATATAATTTGTATATTTTTTTTCTCACAATAATTTTAAGAATTAAAGAAAATTAATTAAAAAAAACAAATATGTTAACATGTTTTATTGACATTATTTACAATAAACTGAAATAATTTTAACTGAAATTAATTAATTTTTTATGCACTTACAGCATTTACTAATGCATTTTTTAAGTCAACAGTTGTATATGTTAATATTAGTTAAGTGACCTTAGGTAAATTAACTATCAATCAACAGTTGTATAATTTGTTAACTAAAACAGACAAAGATATCAGTGAATACGGCAAACATTGTCATATTAACTGCTAATTAATGTTAGTTAATGCATTCACTTACGTTAACTAATGGAACCTTATTATACTGTAAGGTATTGAATTTTATTCACATGTATTTATAAAACGGTAAATATCAAGTTACATGAGTTTGGTTTAATGAAAAAAGTTACTTAAACCTCACTGAAAGTGACGTAGATGGTACAGTGCATAAGGCAAAAAGCAACGCTTCCATCTAGGTGGGTGTCATGAGCGTATACACATTCCTAATCATCAAGAGCTACAGTTGGCGCATGTCTGCTTTTAATAAAATTCTCAAAGCCAGTGTCTCCTACTGATCACAATCAATGTGCATATTATTCGGCTTTGGTTTGACCCAGCTGAAAGTGACGTAGATGGTACAGTACATAAGCCTTGGAGCACTATAGAATAGCTATTCAACCCTAACAGTAAAATTGTGGCATCCATGCTCTGTGATTTTGCCTCCTGTAGGTATTTATATCGGTTTCGATAACCGTGAATAATAACTACAGCCCTGTGGTCACAAATCAATTTGCCTAACCACTTCCCCTCTCTAGTGTCTTCATAGCCAATAATGTCTGTCTTTCTCAGGGGAGTCACTGGAACGCTCAGACGGTTGCTCCATGCAGACCTGGCTTCTCCCAGAGCTTCTACACCGTATTTGTCCCCAGGGTTGTGCTGCAAGGCCTGAACATCCACAAAGGTAAGAGCTTGCAGTGCATTGCACAATTCGGTGCTGGTTTATATGTGTGTGTGTGTGTTAATCTCAGTGGAGGTTTAGCAACAGGTTTGTGGGTGAACACAAATGCTCGTGTATCACTTCCTCTCCCTTTTTCTGTGTGTGTAGGCTAAATGCAATATGTTGAATATCATTTCAGCTTGATTTTTGCATTTTTTTGGAGAAAATGCACAATAGCTTTTACCTTTTCAGTAATTTAGTAGTTGGGCTTACTGTATGATCCTTCAAAATGTGTTGGAACCAGTTTCAGCTGGCTTCAAAAGAAAAGCACAGTGCGGAATAACAAGCACAAATAAACGGTTTAAAAAGGAGGAGCGGAGATGCAGATATGCCGGCGTGCTGAATGTTGATAGTACACGCAGGACCAGTAATGCAATTAGAACACGTTTAAAACACACAATGCTTCTCCAATGCAATTTTCAAGGTCTGCGAAATGTCAGGTGATGCATTTAAAGACTCACATTCGCGATGTGCCAAAAGCAACGCTTCCATCTAGGTGGGTGTCATAAGCGTATACGCATTCCTAATCATCAAGAGCTACAGTTGGCGCACGTCTGCTTTAATAAAATTCTCAAAGCCAGTGTCTCCTACTGATCACAATCAATATGCATATTATTCAGCTTTAGTTTGACTATCAGACAAACCTTGGCTGGATGATTAAAAACATAAACAAATAAAAAACGGAAAGAAACCCATAATCTGAATTTAATGGATAGTTCAGTGGCCCGGCTGGCTACAGAAACCTCATTTAAATCTTCTGTTCAGCTCCCGCTGGGTGTTTTTGCCGCTTTGAGCCTTAAGCTTTTGCTTTTTTTTTCTGTCGCTCCCCCTCTGTCCTGCGTGTAATACAGTTCCTCTATTCTTTTCCACTTCTTTTCAGCAAGATTTCAGCCGTCCTTTTATTCCGTCGCTTTTCATTGCCATTGTGCATGCATGTGTGTGCGTTATGCAAGGATATGCTTTATCTGTGGAATTTGTTTTGCTGTTATGGAAGGAGAAAAGATGTCGCGGGTAAAATTGGACTTGCAGAAACAAATCATGCAGGAAAATGGCACATTGATTCGATCAATTACCTGTTTTTTTTTTTCTTCCCCCTCTGCATTCAAACTTTGATTGAGTAGAACTGTTATCAGGGTAATCAATGGTTTTATTCACATGAATGTGGTTGTTTAAAGTGAGATGTATTTGTTGTTTTTAGGATAGCTGCAACTTTTACATCAGTATAGAAAACTCTATAGAAAGTCCATTTAAAAATCTTTGTGGTAATTGCAGAAATTGGGGTGCGTTCACACTTGTGAATGGATTCTGATGTGATTGCTTTTTTAATGCAGCTGATTGTGCGTGAATGCTGGCATCTAAACACTGGGAAGTTGGTCCTTGTTCTGCTTTCAGATGAATTGGTGCTGTTCTACTGAAATATGACACAACACAGACAAAAGACCTCTAAATGAAACCAAAATGAGGCATGATGTCTTGACAAAAGCTCTACTTGAATGTGTCTGATTACTCAACATTTGTGATTCCACATATTGATTTGGATCAGACTAACATGTCCCTGTTCATTAAAGTGAGGGGTTTGTCTGGGCATTCCAGAGTCAATAACAATAACTTTAATAACAATAATTGGTCATTTTGGTTGCGTTAGTTTTATTACAACAGTTTTATTTTTGCCATTTATTTGTATTCCACTTCACTTTTTATGCAACAGAAGCATGTGATGTGAATTTGGTTACCACAGTAGTTTCAAAAATACGTTATGTGCACCATTTACTTTGTGCATACAGGTAGCAGGTGCGCATTTTTTTTATTGCAGTAATTTGTTTATTCACCAGGCGGCTCCTTGAGGGTGTTTATCTGTTATCAAAGTAAACTTTGGGCTTTAGGCTCTGTATGGCAGATTTGGATGGGATTAAACAAAATATGTTTGTTAAAATGCTTTTTTTTCTACTGACACCATGGAAGACTAGTCCTTAAAACAGTGTTAAAATTTCAGCTTTACCCATTACAATACAGGTCCAAAACCTATACTTTAATGGATAAAGCTGCAACTTTAACAATATTTTTGGGGCTCCATTCAATTGCATCAGGGATTCATGGCACTGTTTCCACTCCTCATACATTTTATTGACTTTTCATGAGTTACCAAGTGATAAAGATATTTTTTTAAATGTTGTATGTATACACATGGGTGTTCAGTCACAGCACAAAGCTGTTTGGGACGTTATGTCAACAATGTAAATTCTAAAAGCCTTGTTTTTCGGTCACACTTTATTATAATAATACTATTCTTACTTTTATCAAATAATTAACTATGCCTTTTAGCTCATTAAACTCCTAATTTGACTCATCCATCTTAATTTTGCGCGGCATCAAAACCACGTGATTAAAAACAACCTGTTGACTAATACTGTATGCAAATGTTTATATTTACAATACATTTTATTACATTTTATTACATTATACATTTTATTGTAACAAATTCATTTATCTCTGTGATTTAGTAGATATATTAAATGAGAGATTTACCAAACAAATGGATCTAATTTGATTTGTATTTCAAACCTTAAACAACAGTTAAAAAGTTGTTTTTTATTTCACGTTTCAAGTTTTTAGTTACTATATTATGCCAAAATCATTATGCATAAATCTGCATATTTATTTATTTATTTATTTATTTATTTATTTATTTATTTATTTATTTATTTATTTATTTATTTATGTATTTATTTATTTATTTATTTATTTTTAATTTTTACAAACTTTTGCTCAGTAATAACAAAACAAAGTAGCTTATTGCTAGCGCTAGTAATAAGTCACGAGTTACAGTAATAGCCAGGTTGTGAATTACAGGGGGGTTTGGGGGATCTTATCCCTCTAATTTAATGCTTGATTTATGAAGATCATAATAAAAAGAATAAAAGGTGAGGTATGGTGGGTCTGCCTTTTAATAGTTAAGAAATAGTTTGTCTGATCTGTATCGTAAATAAATATTACTATTTAAATAATAGATAATGTTAATATATATTTGACCACCCATATAATGGTTCATTACAGTCCCCCCCATTCATCAATGTATAATTCGCACCCTACTAATAATAATAGTAAGTGTTTGTTTTAGTGTTGCATCTTTAGATTTGGTTTTTGAAAATGACAGTGTGAATGATAAACAAATCAGGACTAAATGTAAAAAAAAAAAATGCAAACAAACCCTAAATCTTCTGTTTACCATAGTTCCAAGAACAGATTGTTTTGACTGCAGCTTGTGAAGGTGTTGAAGGAACATTGTCAGCCATTGACATATCAGATGCGCTTGTTACACAGCACGCCGTTGGAGTGTTGGCGCGCGTGTCCAAGCACTCGCACATGAGTCAATCATTTTGTTTACTCGCGGATTTGGATATGAGCATTTTGCTGCGATTGACTCTGTGCCCACAATATCCACCGGCGCTCAAGCAACCACCTTTCCTTCAATATCCAATAGTGCACTCTTCATTTCAAAAACATGCTTACCCCAGCACAACTTGGCACTTGGGTGTATATCGTCAGGCTGCAGTATGAGCTCTTATATGGAGAGTGATTAATGTACAGTCACCGGCCGGGGGGGAAGGGTGATGTGTTCAGAGGAGCCGTAGTAATCGGGGAGTGGGGTCGCCTCACAGGGACGTTAATGATAACAGCCTTGTGTAACCCAGAACCGTCAAAGGGGAGAGTAATGGGTGAGTCGGTTTGCTCAAGTCGAGAAAAGCCAGCGTCAATTTAGCCGTAATTGTAAACACTGCTCTGACACCTTGCGAATGCTAATGGCAAGCTGGGAAATTCTCAGGAGCGCGGTGTGGTCTGAGACTTGAACTCGGTGGTGGATTTGAGAGTAGAAAGTTCCGCTTGACTTGCCTCCATAACTGTTTAATATGGCTGCGGTGCACTGGGGTGAGAGTGAGCGATTCATCTCAGTTCTCTAGGTACTGCTTAGCATTGGTCTCTAAAGCCTGGCCATCCAAACAGAATCAGATATGACTGCTCTTTCATGGCCTGGGCAGTCGGGGTTTGTGCCAGCTGTCCGCTAGTCTTGCAGCTGCCTGCGATGCAATTTGCTGATTCCGTTTAATTACACCGCTAGCTTGTTGTGTTTATTTTCTTTTCATTTATGAAGGTGTTTGTTCGCGCCGGGCTTTTAATTATAGCAAAGTTCAGGTATTATGACAACAGCGGTGCATCCATACCTATTATCCTCTAATCCTCGTCATCACTTTTATTGTACTTCTAAGGATAACGAGCCTATTAAAGGCACGGCCCCTTGAATGAAGTTGAGCGGAGTGGTTATAATTCAACCATCCAACATTTCTAATATCTTTACACAGTAAAAACAGACAGCGTGAGTCCCTTCAGGCGCTCTGCCTCACTAGATGTGATTCATCTTCACTCAGCATGTGAAAAGATTCATCATTTATGCTGACAAAATATAAATGCCAGGGTTGTCACATATTCAGCTGGCCTCGGGAGCATATGAAAGGCACCCGCACGGCCACAGTAAATAGGTATGGTAAGCATTTGTGTTTTACATGATTGGATTCCAGATCCTAAATGGTAAGTTTCGTGCAGCGTGCAACGTTGACTGATGATGCGATCATTTAGTATGGCTCGTTACAGTGGTGGGAAGTCTAGCTCAGGAGAAAATGATGTTTTATGAGCTTTTATTGTGTTACGTCATGTCTTCCGGCGTTTATGCAAACATTTATAGACGTATAAACTCATGCATAAATTCTGTGTTTTCATGCATGGGAGGACACGCTGAAAATAGGAGATTGTAACTGTTGTATGGAGAGCAATTCTCACTTTTGCTTATTAACTATTTGCTTATTAGCTTGAACAATGACTGTTTAGTAGTACTTATAAAGCACATCTTAATGCATTAGTCTGCATGAGCATATTCTATATCTTAAAGGAAAAAGGGAGATTCAAGCAAA